CGCCACCCGCGCCCGTCTGACCCGCGCTGGCGCTCGCGCTGCTGCCCGCGCTCGTGGATTCCGCGCCGCTGCCCGCCGCGCTGCCCGACTTGCTCAGCCCGCCGCGCCGCACCTGACTCCCGCGGTGCCCGCAGCGCCCAGCGCACGGACCCTTGCACGGATTGACGCACCGAGCGGAGCAGCTTATCGGAGCGCTTGTTACGCGACCGATTTTCGCGTGTTCGGTCGCATTCTGTTTGTGTTCTCGCGTCGAACCTTCCCGGGTGTGACGTGCCCGTTCGAATGTAGTTTAGGAAGCACGCTGTCCGTTACGTGGTATAGTCGTGTGGGATGGACAAAACTGAGAAAACTCTGAAAGCTTATTTTTATATTCGATAAAAATGTCTGTGTAAAGTTTAAATTGAAGAACGAGCATCGCTCGAAGCGCCTTTACGTCACTCTTCTACTGTCGGATATCATTTTTCCTTCCCCGAAATGGTGTCGCACAGTGAGAAAGTTTCAGTGCTGTCGAGAACGGGAGATCGACGCGGAGATGTTAGCTTGATTGAGTTCTGCTTCCGCGACGCCGCCGGCGCCGCAGCCCGCTTGCAGCCAAAGTACGCAGCGCTCAAACTTTTGCCAATTGTTTAAACTTTAAACGCAAAGTAAATTGTTTCGTCACTATAATATTACGTGCATCACTCATGTTATACATTTTTCGACTCGACCATCAAGTTGGGACGTTTATATCGTGTCTTATTCTGAACGCTTAAAGAAAGCCGCCGAATCATATCGATTTTGTCCGTAATAGTTTTAATAGTTCCAATTTATAAGCTTCTTACAGTACCAAAACGACGACGCTACATCTTCTCCCTCGCCGAGGTCTGCTCGGAAAAACGTTTAGAAGAATTTTTGCAAAGTTATCTGTGTAAGCTTAGCGAATCAGCAGTGAAGTCGGTACAAGAATTCACTTCCGTCCTAATTCAGTACGCGTCATAGGAATCGAGCCATTTTACGTAACGCGCACCTCCACGTAGTTAATGTATTCACCTTCCCCTGAATTACATTAGCCGAGGCGAGAGCCCGCGCCGCCCGCGCCGCCCGCGCCGCCAGCGAGCGACCGGACCTTGCCGGACCGCGCCGGAACGCGTGCGGCCTCGCTCGTCCTCGCGCGACCTAGCTCGTTCTCTCGACGCCCGCCACGGTTCGTGTCGACACACCGCTATCGGATCATCTCTCTTATTAGCGATAAGGTTATGAATAATACCTAAGAAATCGAACGTCCCTTACCGAGTAAGGTAGAAATTATTCAGATGTTTTTATTTTTCGATTGACATCACTATAGATAGACAATAGTAGGCGCGAGGCCGCCTGGCCGCGGCGTGCAGCGGGTGTCACGTCGACTATTGAGTTTTATCAGTATCGTCTTTTCTAGCACAACAATGATTATTATTCGTTTAACTTTTATAAATTAACTTTGGAAGTGGTCAATTTTCTACTACTGTGTAAATATTGAGAGCTTAGCGCCGATCGCCTTACACTCAGCGTCACGAGCCGTGCGCCATGGTCTCTACGGCGACTGAGGACAGCGGGACACGGCTCGCGGCTCACGGCGCGGCGCGGCCATGTTCCGAGCTTGGTGCAAGTTAGCGTGCTCTCGCAAGTTTGGCTTTCGTCATCGATCATGTCACCGAATAGTTGTGTGTCGGTTGTTTTTGATTCATTTTAAATTATAAAGTGTAATTTTCTAAGTGCGTGACGATCTAAATGTTGCAAAAGTTTAAAAGAGTCAGTGTATTGTAAACTAAAAGAGGCGCTTAACGTTTTGCACGTATTTGCAATAATGATTACGGTTACAGATGATAAATACGTAGGTAGATATCATGGGAGGGCATCATCAAGCAGGGCAGTCAGTGTACCGGCGCAGTTCCCCATCGCCGGCGCACTCTCTGCTGTTCCTCCCTCCGTTGGGTTCCCTTGGTTTCGACCGCAGCAATTCAGTTGAATCGTCGTTTTCGCACCGACGAGACCGGAAGTCTTGGGATGGGTCATTTCAAAGTGAGCTCGTTCACCTTCCCCAAAAAGCTGTCAGATGTGATATCAATTTTTATACGTGCAAGTCGGTCGCACAAATAAATGTATATTTTATATAGACATCTGTCGGCACCTGGCGAGCCCCGCGGAACGGCCCGTCCCGGGACCTCAAGGGGCTTTTTTTGGTTACCATATCCGGAATTTAAAGTTGTGTTGGTTTAACCAAACGTTTTATCTACTATTAGGCATATTGGCACAAAAAAACGTTGTGTTTAATTAAGTTTAGACAATAAGTTACAATATCATTGTATTGTTTATTTGAAATATACTTATGACAAAAAGTGAGTTCAGTTTGCTGAATGATAGAGGTTTAATTGAATATTTATTATATATATTGTTGAAGTTTGTACAAAATAAATTAAGTAAATGATAAATTATAGAACTTGACTGCTTTAATTTGTTGTTTGATTAAAAAAAAAATCCCTAATATTACTATAGAACAGACCATTATTTTGATATAGAAGTTAAAAGCGTCGTATCAATAGAAAAATTTATTTACCTTAAAAAATCTACTCTAACTATCGTTATCCTTACTTAACTCAACTCATGATAATTGACTATTTGACACGTTCAAACTTTAAATAATTAAACATGTTTGACAAAGATTGATGAAACCGTTCATTATCAAACCTTTTGGCAAACGCAGAAAGCTTAATCTCGTTAAAAGACACTTCCGTATATTTTTTACAATCCTTTCTAGAACATTATGGCAAGCTCATGCATAAAAATGTCCTAAGGGCTTAATTTTTAAAGTGTTGAAAAATCAAATAGATTAGAATTACTAAAAACTACTAAGTTCAGAACAGCCTATGTAGCATGGTTGGCAACACTGCAAGAGTCAATGTCAATTGACAGTGACGCTTTTTTCCTGTTGCCGTTATGTCAATTGTTATGTCAAATTTCTTAATTAAATTCAATGGTGTCTTTTTAACTTTGTCCTAGAATATTTGACAACAGTTAAGTAGTTATATTTCACAGTTCTTAGAGAATTTAGGAAGAAATTACAACAAAATAAAGCAATCACCGTGATATCAAAATGAACGTGTTACCAGCACAGCCAATTGGCATACAAAGTACAGCAGGCGCAGTACCAATTCGAAATGAAAAAGGTTAGTAAACATAAAACAATCTGTGCATTCACAAAAACCAGCAAAGCTGTATTAAACAGGAATTAAATCTGATTAGCTTGGTATTATCTGAAACGATAATTCCGTTGTGCGTTGTTAATATTCTATAGTTCACATTGTTTAGCTATAGCATTGCTTTTGCGTTTTGTTGGCTGTTTTAAACAATTTTAAGTAATTAAATGTTTTTGTCCTCATCTTATTTATTAATATTCAAAAAATGAGCACCATTTAAAAATTAATTAGATTGTTAAAATATAAAAAAAACATGGTTTACACTTGTTTTTGTTAAATGTAATTACAAATTGATGTAATTTTTTAGGTGAACTGTCCATGCAAAAGGTTAAAGTACAGAGATATATATCTGGAAAGAAACCTGATTACGCTCAAGGTGTTAGTTCTTCGGAGGAATCAGATACTGAAGATTTTATAGAGCAACAGAAACCTGAACGTAGAGTACAGATTGCTTCTCAAATCGGTACTAAACATGAGGAACACAGTGATTCAGAGAAAGAAGTAAGTAAAGCAGTAATCTAAAAATAGATAGAATATAATTATGTAATATTATGAAAATCACCTGAAACCAACATGCATGTATGTTTAGATGTATGAATGTAGAAGTGAAAGTGCTGTGACAGAACCACTCCAGATAGAGGTCCGTAGTCTTTGCATATCCCTCTAGGTTGTGGGTGTGAGTTATGTTATTGTTGAATTAGATAAAAATATTAAGAATTAGTTCAAGTAGATACTTGTGTTGAATTATAAATGTAAAAGAAGCACGAGAGTTGTGAAATAAATGTAAATAAGTAATCGTTTCCAACCTTACCATAGTTATGTGTGTGAGATGTCTGCAAGTTTAACATCTTACCATAAGTTATCAAATCTGACTTCAATTGTAGTAATTCTGAACATTAAAGTACTTTTACTATTATCTGGATTGAATATAAATCATTAGACTAATAAACAAGAAAGTAATCAGATTGAATGAGGCTACAAAAATATAGAAGACAAAAGAAAGTATGGATAAATAGTGTGAACCTCTTTCATTTGCTTAAGAAGAAAAGTATTCAGATGATAGGTGATAGAGATGTTTGTAAGATTGGTATTGTACCAACTCCTATGTAAGGAAAGTTGCCGACTGAATATGATGCTATAAATTTATTTTTGTATGTTTCATTAAGGTTGACGACCCTCGTCTACGTCGACTGCGCAGGGTGGCAAGGTCGCCCCCGCGCCGTGAAGAACACAAGCCTGAAATTATTGATGCAGAACCAGAACCCGAGTCGGAATCGAGTGCGGAGGAGGAGCGTAACACATCAGAAAGTGATGATGATTTGGACGAAGAAGAAATAGAGAAACGTCGACAAGCTTTAAAAGCTAAATTAGCTGCACGGTATTTATTGCATTTGAATATGTTGTGGAATATTTGTATTATAAACATGTAAATACATATGTTTCATAAGTATTAAACCTGTAATATACTAAAGTATATACATAACATATTTTTAACCCGATATTCAGAGAAATGACCCATATCATGAAGATTATTCCAATTTTTTTTCATTTTCTTACAATTAAACCATGTAAGACTTTGGGAGTTATAAATTTCACGCATAACGGTTGCAAATATGTTTGTTTTCATTTTAATATGTGTGAATTGAGACTGGTCAATTTCAGGGAAGCAGAAAAGGAGGTTCTTGGTGGAGATGATGATGAGGAAATGTTAGATGGTGAGAAGGAAGAAAGTGGTTCATCTGACACAGAGTACACAGACAGTGAAGAAGATACAGGTAAAAAGAAGTGTTTTGTTATAAACTTAAGATTTTAGGTCTTAGTGAATACAAATACTTGCTACTAACGTGTTTTTTTTTTTTTAAAGAATGGAAATATAGATTATAAAATTAACAACCACAAGTTATATAAATTGGTCACTAATGGCAATAGAATGTAGATTTACTATGTGAGTTTATACTAAGGGAATTAATTAATAAGGCTCCATTATTTTTAACTTGTATCTTCCCATAGGTCCCAGAGTAAAACCTGTTTTTGTAAGAGCATCGGAGAGAATGACGGTTACGGAAAAAGAACGTAAATTAAAACAGCAGAAGAAAGAAGAATCGGATGCGAGAAAAGAAAAAGAAGAAAGGAGAAGAGAGGCTTTGAAGTTAGTTGAAGAGACTATACGGTCAGAACAGAGGAATGCACAGGTAAAATATTTTCATATTGTCTTAAGTATTATCGTGTGCTTGTGAGACCAAAATAAAAATTATTGTTATCTCTGTATTGTCAAAGATAATGACAGGGATGACGATATGTTTTACTCAAAGATTTTGGTCTCGGAAAATGTTAGTACAGACTTTGCTTCTACTCATAAAACTGTTGAAATACCTTTATGTATTTATACTATATTTGTTTTTTACAGGGTGATCAGAAAGAAGCGAATATCAATGATGTTTGTACTGATGATGAAAATGATGAGTTGGAATATGAAGCGTGGAAACTTCGCGAAATGAAGAGGATAAAGCGGGATAAGGAAGAAAGGGAGGCGTAAGTAGAAACATAATGATTGACTTTGTTTGTTGATAGACATCCACAGTAAGGAAATATACGATAGGTTAATTATAATAGCTATGATTAAGAAAGGAGGATTCCATAAATATTTTTAAATAGATTTTCTTATCCATCCTCTTTGCTGGTAAGAAAGTTTGTTATGGTCCTACCAGTGTTGCACTTTACGTTATTCTCGTTTAAATGATTTGATGTTACAATCATTCATTGTACTATTTTTAGTGTTACAATTTTTCATGTTACTATTTATAATGTTACAATTTTTCATGTGTTGGTTACATATGTTGCAGTATAGAGAAGGAGATGCTAGCGATAGAGCGCATGCGTAACATGTCAGAGGAGGAGCGCCGTGTCGAGCAGCGGCTGAATCCCAAAGTCGTCACCAACAAGTCTATTAAGGGCAAATATAAGTTCTTACAGAAGTATTACCACAGGTACGTATTTTAACAGCTTTAAAACCAACAATATTCTGCTTTAAAACAGAAAACAGGGCCGAGCTCGTATCTTGTTTAATATTTCTAAATTATGTTACGTTTTCTCATGAAAAAAAATCTGGAGCGTGATGGAAGATCTATCTACAGGATTTGCTTTATTTTCTGAATCATTTTTCTTATTTAATACAATCATACAGGCTGTAGCACCATTTTTATTGATACGATTTGTAACATTAAATTTGCTAATGTTACACATTATAATGTTACAGAGGTGCATTCTACTTGGACAAAGAGGATGAGGTGTACAAACAAGACTTCTCCGGAGCAACATTGGATGATCACTTTGATAAGACTGTCTTACCAAAGGTAAGTCCAGTAAAACATTTTTTTTAACCTGCCGATTTTGACGAGTGAGATGTCATTCTATTCGTCTTCTTACCCAGAGTGTCATAGCGTTTATTAAATCGGCACAAAATATGAAATTCTAAAAAAAATGTAAAAAGGTTAAATCTTAAGCGCCATAACTTCAATGTTAATTTTTTTTTTCTTTATAGTCAATCCTAAGATAAGTGTTATATATAACATTACAATTTACGTTAAATTAAAAAAAAATATTTCTTTTAAAACTCAGCCAACAGATGGCGCTATTTCATCAATCGCCTGTGTCGCGTGTTTTTTTTAAATTTAATTTAAGGTATACTTTATATAAGCAGTATATGCTTTATATATGTCAGTATATAAATAAATTTATTTGATTAGGTAATGCAAGTGAAGAAGTTTGGTAGATCAGGACGAACTAAGTACACTCACTTAGTAGATCAAGACACGACTGAGTTTGACTCCGCCTGGAACAATGACGGTGCAGCGGCGAGACTTTCCAACTACCGCGGTGGTATGAAGCAAGTCTTTGATAGACCGACTGCTAGGAGGAAGCATACTACTACATAGCATACTGATCGCACTAGCCCAAAGCATGAAACGAAATCTGAGGAAGCACTAACTAAAATAGTTAGAACAAAATCAGATTAAATGAACTTTGAGGCAGATAAAAAATTAATGCCTACAAAACTCAGGCAAAATATGACGCAATGACCCAAAGTGGTACTCTTCTTAATCCTGTTATATGTCCAATTCCTGGATTTGAAGCTCTTCTAGGTCTGATTCCACTTCTTGGGATGGTCAAGTGGACAAATTAAATTATTTAAGCCAAAACTTGGTTTGAGTAAAAAAAAATGTTTAATAGGTTAATTAAAAGTAGAAGGAAACTAAAGAAGCATCTGTGAAAGGCCAATGCCGATACACTTTTTAAAAAACTTTTTTGAGAATTCAAGTTTTTATACAAGTGTATCGGCAGTGGAAACCCAAGGCAATACATCCATGAGAAGCCTTTATACCATAAACAAGAAATGTTAACAGGTTTTCCTTCCACAAGCGTGGTCATAGTTCTCCATAGTTCATAGTTTTTTCTACATAAATAAATATTGTATATATTTCATGTGTATAATCGTTACATAAATAAATTTCGTCATAAAGTTTGTTTTATTATCCAAATTTCTACGTCCAACGCCTACGCTTAATGCTACGCGCATGACTACGGCTAAATCTACGCCTACGTCTACGCCTACATCTACGGGTACAGCTATCCTCTACAGCAAAACAAGGATATCTGAACCGTTGAGAGAGAAGCTGCTCCGGTTCAGATAATCTTGTTTGTAGATTTGTTTTTTTTTCAGTTATCTGAAAATAAAAATATAGGCATTTTACCTATTTTTTTATTTCACGAGGCCGAAGTTTTGGCCAACAGTAAATAAAAATGTTAAAACAACGTAAAGTATCCAATTTTACGAAGTATCTTTTATACATTAAGGTAAGTATGTAAAGTTTTAATATAATTAGAACTTTAGTTTAGCCCGTCAGTAAACGTCCACGTAGAGACCGGCTCTAGTGAAGCGTAACTAAACATTCCTAACGACAGAAGTTTTTAAATCTCTGTAAGAACGGAAAAGTTTGATTTAAGTCCTCATTAAACTACAATCCTTGTAAATCCAATAGAAAATCGCGCGATCCTCTGAATACTAGTCGTCTCATTTACGTAATAAGAAAAATATGAAGCTACATTTTTTTTTTATTATTTTAAATACATATGGAGGAGTACACCGGTAGAGGTAGGTCTAGGCAGAAATGGATGGATTACATGTAAGGTGACATGATTTAATTAAGGAATCCTGGTATGCCGACCCTGCATGTGCAAGTGGGACAAGGTCAGAGAGATAATGATGATTTAATTTATAAACTTATACGGAAACGGCAAAACACTCATGTATGTCTGGTGGAGGCAACAACAAGTTTCGAGCCCATGGGGGGCATTCATCAGGGTGAGTGGGACTGGTATTATTCCGCGTACGTGGCCCGTCAACGCGGCCGCCACCACGGACACATGTGAGTGTTTTAGCCGTTTTTAGAGTTCCGCACCTCGTAAGGAAAAAAAGGAACCCTTATAGGATCACTTTGTTGTCTATCCGTCTGTTAAGACCATTTTTATATAATTTTATGATAATATCTATCGAAAATTTGAATAATTTGATTTATTTAGGAAACAAAATGTTGATTCAAGTACACTTACAGAAAAAAAAATATTTGAAAAGATGTCCTCAAAGCTAATTAAATAAAAATTTATAGGATTTCAAATGGTACATAATTTTGGTTTTTGCAATTAATATTTTCGTAATTAATTATATCGAACAGTAAACAAAGAGTGACAATTTTCAACCGCAACGCTTTGGTACCGTTTATTGATAGAAGTTTGTTTTTCGAGTTAATTACGAATTGTTTGTACATCGACCGATCGTAGCTTCATTACAAAACCTTCAATGGCAATATTGGGATTTATCGAATGCGCTTTTATATTGCGGTCGCTAACCGGTTAATTAAATGAATTCTTAATGAATGCTAATTAATATAAATTATAGTTTTGTTTTAAAAGTATACTAGTAGAGTCGTACAGTCAGCGTCATATAGATCGTCACAGACAAGATATGCAAATATATAGGTACATCAAAAGTAATCAATTATATCGGTACAACAAAAGTCCTCAAAATAATAGATACATTCACCCTGCTCAAAAACATCGGTACATACACAGCGTCAAATATATGAGTACATGCAAGATGCTCATAAATATCGTAGCATCCACAGCGTCATAAGTAACGAAGCAGTCAAGGTGCTCAAAAATATCGGTACATTTGACAAAATTGAACTCTATCTCTATATACTTGTGATACAATTTGGAATAAACTACTTCTGTTACATTCATTTGACACTTTGCATCAAACCATTTTTCAAAATTTACTAAAAGTGTTCGACGCGGATGACACATATTACGTAGATAAAACCAACATCAAATTTAAGTTTGTCATCATATATGCTAGTTTGGTCTCGTGGCCTTACCGTTCGCCGCCGTTGGTACGTAAGTTCGGCGGTTCAAATCCCAAGCAACTATTTTTTTTTTTGATATTTAAACTTTTTAATTTTAATATCAAAGCACATGTAATTAAACTCTATCGCCGTAGTTATTAGGTACTTTTTGATATTGCCTTGGACTAATGAGTTTGAACGCTAAAGTACTTTTCTATTTCAAACAAAAATGAAGGAGATAAAGTGATGCTATTGACATGTAATTTGTTTATTACTCATGTTTGTTAAACTTGTACCGGTAAAAATAACACTTTTACTTTTACCTTTTACTGATACTGATTATATTTAAGAAACAAAGAAAAAAAATCTGAATGTCAATATCCAAACTACATCAAATTTTTGGTCGATTGCAATAAACATTCCAGTGTGCGTGGGCGCGCACACATATGTAGATAACACTTGTACGTATAGTTTCCGCGCGTACCATTCTTAAAACCCGCAAAGACAATCCACGCTCCGCCCACTCACTTCAACCACGATGGTCTGACTTAATTGTTGTTAACTTTATTTAAATTTCTTTCTACCCGACAGCGAAAATTATAAAAAAAATTGTCGAGCAAAATTTTACATTACCAAATTTTTACTGGTTATGAAAAAATAACCACGTGATTGATAAAATGAAAAAAAAGTAGCCTGAGATTCGAACCGGTAAACTTACATATTACGGCAAACATACTAGAATACTGCGCCAAACTAGTATATATTGTGACAAGGCAAAATTTGATATTAGTTATTACGTATCTGTCATATTCGGCGTGACAAACTTTTATAATATATTTAAGCGTTATGACAGGAGAAGAAAAATATTGGGTTGCCCAGTAAGTTCGTGCCGCTTTATAAGGAAAATTGAAACCCTGTCCTCTTAAATTTTTGGAAATGGTTTTAAATTATATTGGTACGACTCTATACCTAAAACGTCTTTTATTATTGGATACAATTTTAAAAAATTAGTTTTTATCTCAACCAATGAAATGAAATTATTCACAATATAGAAATTTTTGTGACGTTTGATAATGGTGGAAATCCGAAAATGAATCCACTTCAGCTACAGTCTATTGTAAGCTTTATATCGAAAATCAGAACGAACTTTCCGGACAACCTATAATGTTAATACGAAGTGTCAAATGAATGTAACAGAAGTAGTTTATTCCAAATTGTATCACAAGTATATAGAGATAGAGTTCAATTTTGTCAAATGTACCGATATTTTTGAGCACCTTGACTGCTTCGTTACTTATGACGCTGTGGATGCTACGATATTTATGAGCATCTTGCATGTACTCATATATTTGACGCTGTGTATGTACCGATGTTTTTGAGCAGGGTGAATGTATCTATTATTTTGAGGACTTTTGTTGTACCGATATAATTGATTACTTTTGATGTACCTATATATTTGCATATCTTGTCTGTGACGATCTATATGACGCTGACTGTACATCTGCTATATTTTCAAAACACCTTCGTATATTCGTGTTAGTATTTTATAAAAAAATTAAAACAAAAGTTATTTCTTAATGTTACACGTATATTGATCCGCGCAGACGCACCGCTTTCACAGATAAAACGAATTTGCTCTGTCTCGATACGATGCGGGTGGCGCGGATGATGGACGCTCTTTGTAAAATTATACAAAGCAAACTAAAGGCGCGGGCTAATGGACGAGTACCTAAATTTCTTTTTTTCATATCATAAGTGGCAAACGAGCGAGTAGCCACCTGAAATCGCTGAAATAGCGAAGTGACCGCTACCCATAGACATACGCAATTGCCTATGCGTTGCCTACCTTTAATCGACGGAGGATGGACAGAAAGAAAATATTTTCCTCTTCCATGCATCCTCTCATCCGGAAAGTCCACTTACACTTCCCATCCTTTCCTTATAAGAAAAAGGGTGGGAAGGGAAAGAGGACTAAATTAGGCCTCCGAGACGCACACTCATCAGACGAAACGCGGAATTGCTTCCACTTCACGCCGTCTTGTGTGGTCGTGGTATTTCACCGGGCGAGCCGGGCCAATTCGTGCGAAGATGTTAAAGCGGGCTCTACCACTGTAATATGGTCTTTCACAATAGAAGCGTTTTACAGGCAGTTAGTTTACAATAAACATTTTTATTAGATCTTTATTTAACTTTTATAGGCACAGACATTTTGTTATTTTTATTAAACCAAAAAAATTATATTACAACTATATAACAATTGTCATATTCAGTTGTCTGTTTGTTCATCGAGTGGGTAATGCAGAGGTGTGCCATCGCCGAGTCTTTTCGCAAGGCCATTTATCATCTGCGGCGTTGCTTCGCGCAGGTCGTAAGCCCAGCCGAGCCATTTGAAGCCATTTATAAAAGTGGTGCATAAGTTGAATGCATCAAAGTGCTCCGCGGCTTTGTAGTCGAATGGGAAAGCGTGGTGATAGTTATGCCACCCCTCACCGAATGTACACGTCGCTACGAAACGGTTTTCCCTCGGTACTATATTTCTGGAAATAAAAATCTTATTAAAAGATAAATAAAAATATTGTGGTCATTGTTTTAAAAATATAGATTTGGAATAAATTACTAAATAATCTTACTAATATTATAACTGCGAATGTTTAGATGCATGGATGTTTGTTTGAAGGTACATATCTCCAGAACGAATGAACGGATTTCGATGAAATTTGGCATAGATGTAGAACATAGTCTGGAAGAACACATAGACTACTAATTAAGTTTTTTTTGTCAATTCCGCGCGGATGGAGTAGCGGCGACAACTAGTTTATCGATAAACAATAGCATATTTATAACGTGTGTTAAAAGTAGAAACTACTTAGCATTGTAATTTAATTGGTGGGGCCTTTTGTACTACAGAATATTGTTGTCCCTGTTTTTTTCAAAGAAAACGACAAGGATAAAAAATGAATTTACATAACCCGTAATAACGTTAATGTTCGTTGGATGGATAAATGCGTGTTTTGAATAGCATTTATCCATCCGATAGTGTTCTATCTGTTTGTATATTAGGTTTGTTTCATCAAGCCTGTGTTATTAATATAGTATTAGGTAGGAATTTAATTTTAGACGTCCAGCCGCAACCTGGAATGCAATATGCTAAAATTGTTAACCCTGAGTAAACTAACAATGATTTAACAATTATGATAGTGATATGCAGAAAAACGAGTAATTAATTATTACGTTGTTACTAAAAGAGGTGTCTTTGTATAATAAAATTATGCTTTTACGGAATGCAATTGAGTCAATTAACCTCCTTTGTCTAAATTAGTAAATTTTAGTGAGTAATAAACAGTAAACATCATAATTGATGATGCTATGGTAGATGCCAGCAACAACAACATTTATTGCAAGAATTGGCCGGCCCCATGCAATACCACGACCACACAGAAGACAGGTGTGAAGTCGACGCGTTTCGTTTAACGAGTGTGCATGCCGGAGGATTTTTTACTCCTATTTTCAATCAACGATTCAGTTTAAGATGTTTAAGCTTTTTTGATTACTAGTCGTATACTAATAATCGTAGAACAAAAAGAAGAATAGGAAGGAAGGATAGTTCCAGTCATTATTTATGCTACAATTAAAGAGAAAAGTCTCGTGTAGTATTAAAAAGAAAAATAAAAATTGCTCTACGGTAACAAAAAGTTCTTATATAATTATATAGATATATATATTTATACTTACTTATTATATGGTTTGTATCCATAGGCATGAGCTAGACTATTTACAGTCAGCTCGCTGTGGAACATGCTGAGGAATCTTATAAAACATTGCCACGCCACCGCGCACTTCCACTCCTCCCCCCACAGCCACACGCCTAATGTCGTCGGCAAGATGTAGCAGAACATCAGCTTAAAGTAATGGAAGTATCTGTATGTAAAAGAGAAAAAGTTTATAAAAGAACAGTGCCGCGAAAGCAAACTGGCTGGAAGATAAAACAATTTTGATAAGAATCTGGTATGGATTTGATTTTACCATTTAGCAGCTACGTTTACCACACTAATCATTCAAGAACCTAAAATAAAGCATACTCTGCTTTTCATTTTCGATTCATGTTCTTTCGCGTACTGCTTTACTTCGGTTCCGGTTTGCTTTCGAAGTTAGAGTATTACTCCTCTTTATTTAGCCATCGACGTCTGATTTAGAAAATGAAATTTCTGTCCGACTAGGGAATTTGCTTACTTGTTATAAAATCTAAGTATTGGGTCGGCTTCTAAATCGCTCATGTCCATCTCCTTGCCTCGCTGTTTTACTTGCGAGTTCTTCTTCATCATGAGCCAGCCGATGTGCGAGAAGAACAAGCCCCGGTTGGCGTTGTGCGGGTCGGCCTCCGTGTCGCTGTATTTGTGGTGAACGCGGTGGTCGCGCACCCATTGGTACAAGGTGTTCTGTGGAACATTTACTTAATTTCTTACGTCTCTCGAACCAACGAAAAAACCCATTCTTTATTGCTTTTTTAATAGTTTTCGATGCAGGTCTTCGATTACCATCGTTATTAATACATGCGAATATTTTCATTGCGAATATAATGTCGTCCAAACTTTCGCTGTCAACTGCATTTGCGTATTTCGTGTAGGGAGATTTTTTACCTGTCCAGCAGCGGCGAAGCAGACCAGATAGAAGAGTTTAAGCGGCAACGTAGCCTTGTACGATTTGTGCGTCCACAGGCGATGCGCTCCGCCCGTAATGCCGTATCCACTTAATATGTACATAACTGTAGCTGTAATTTTATCAAAGTCAATATCATCATCAGCCGTCATACATCACCACTGAAAGGCTTGGAGTCTCCCCTAAGTTAGGGATGACTAGGCCATAGTAAATCATGCTGGACCGTGCTGGCCTATTGCGGGTTGGTTGACTTCACACATATCTTTGAATTTCTACTCCGACATATGGAGGTTGCATGACGGTTTCCTGCACCGTAAGAATGTCTGATAAATGTATATATATAAATTAAAAATTGATGCACATTTGTACAAGATGGGATTCAAACTCTCTGTAAATCAATATGATAGTTTATAAATGATAAAAATACAAAGCTATTCTATTAGTTAATATAATTTTAAAAATACTAACCGTAAAGCACCGTCTGCCATTTCACAGGGAGAGCATAATGATAGCACCAATATACTGCTAATACATGATACAAAATTATAAGAATTGCGGTTGACCATTTTATTTCATTTTTAAAACCTAATTGTTTCTCAAATCCACGTATAATTTCACTAATAGAGGTTCCAGGTTTTATATCTTCTTTTCCTGACATCTTAGCAACGACTAAACAATATCAAAATACACTTTTTAGGTTTAAAATACTATTTAAATAAAGACAATGAACGCCGATGTGTTGTAATTTCTATTGTTTCTTATTACGAAATCTGTTTGATTCCACGAACTAACCTATATATATCTTGAATTTAGGGATCGTTTTTGTTCAATATAAAATTTACATTAATGTTTTTAAAACATAGTAGAAGAAGAATCTTACAAACACAAAAACAACACTTTGATCCTTTGATATTCAGATCCGTTTAACATACAATGGGTCGATGTTGTCGTTGATGTCAATCTTACATAGACAATGCTTACTGTGGGTTTCCGAATCCAAAATATCCGTTTAAAATATATTGTTATCTCTATGTTGTCAAAGATAATGACAGGGACGACGATATAATTTATACAGAGGTCTTGGACTTAGAAACAAACGGTTAAATAGCTTTTGTTTGGATGATAACTTTCCGAGACTCTTGTTTTTGTTTTACTTGTAAAGGCTATTCTTGTAGCTGGTTTCGATTGTTTGAATAATTTAAATTGTAAAACTTTATTATAATTACGTTGTCGCCCGCGTCTATGTCCGCGCGGAATTAAAAAAAATAGTTGCCTATGTGTTCTCCCAGACTATATTCTATATGTATGCCAAATTTCATCAAGATCTGTTCAGCGGTTCTGGAGATACCTTCAAACAAACATCCATCCATCTAAACATTCGCATTTATAATATTAGTAAGAAATGTGATTTATTTTTTCCTCGCTTATTTTATTAAAATCGTGTTTTTTTTAATGTTAACCATTTTATCAAAGCAACAAGAACATTTGAAACACGATCGTATCTTTGCTCCCAGTTACAAGTTTATCCTGTGTGAACTACCGTCTAACTTTGACAAGTATTTCAAGTTTCCTTTCCTTTGCCTTAGACTCAATGAACCGACCAAAGTAAATTTTAGAAGAGACTTCGTTTGTAAGAGCTATTTCAACATTTTCACAACAAGTTTTATAATGGATCAAATTTAAAGTTTTTTAATGACTGTATCACCACCTGATTCTTTGAAGGATATAAATTGACGAAAGTAAAAAAAAACAAGTGAAAGACGAATAAAATCGTGACAATTAATTTCTGTCGCCCGCGACTCCGTCGATATGGAAATAAAAAAAAAAATAGTAGCCTATGTGTTAACTTAAAGAAGATTTGTTGAGCCGTTCCGGAGATATTTTCAAACAAACATCCATCCGAACATTCGCATTTATAATATTAGTTAAATATAGATTACTTTTTAGATGTCTAGAAAGACCCTAGCGTAATTCAATCTACTCACGATAGAGATTTCTATTAGTTTTTCTTTTCAAAGTAAACTCGTGGAAGAGATAGTCAGGAATGCTTTCAAACTTCTGAATGGTATACTGTAATATATACCGTGCTTAATACTACGTAATTCGTTAGAATTTTGTGAGCGCCACAGATTGTCCAAATGATCCCAGAAGTTTAATATGTAGGTAGACGAATAAATACAATACGTTGGAATATCGTGATCGTAAATACCTGTCGTTTTACTGTGACTGAAACGATTTTAACATTCAGACATAAAGCGCACCTGGCTCTTGACCCCGTTCCCGTTTCGTCGTGTGACACAATCTTGCTAAACAAAATAAAAAAGAACAAGCCGAGGTTATTGTAAATTTGTAGTCAGCCAGTACTAATCTTAAAAAGTTTATATATAATTAATACCAATCTACCTCTATCTACCAAAGATTCCAGGTTAAATACGAATTTCATTGAGATTCAATGCTTAAATTAAGCAATCTGTTTGCTCGAAACATAAACAATTTAGCGGTCATAACTATAATACAGTTTTTTTTAATTTAAATAAACAAGGAATAATATCCAAATTGACAATAAAAGTGTCTATAAACCCATTGCGGGTTTGTCCAGAAACATTGGTACTACGCTATGAAATTAAACGGTAGGTAAGTTATTTTTTTTGTTTACAGCAAATTAGTGAGCTCGCTCATACTGTATGAAGTTAATTAACTATTTTATAAAAATTAAACGAACAAGTGAAGTAATGTCGTATAATTATGGTAGATAATTTAATACAGTTATATGAGAAAACAAAAATTGCTGAAAATATTGCGAATTTTAGGTAAGAAACTCTCAATATCTAAGAATTGTAAATGTACTAATTTAATATTTTATATTTAAAACCCATAGTATAGCAAGTATAGATGAAACATCGTATAATATCTATGTGGAAAGTGACCTAAAGCTGGAGTAATTTCTGCTTATCCAAATTATTTCTGCTACTATGAGCAGGACCCTAATATTTTTCTCATCTTTACGAGGTAAATGTCGTTAAGTAGTATACTTTGGCTCAGAATTATAATTTACTTATTAAGAAAACTCTTATGAAATTTGTGTCGTTGGAAGAAAAAATATTAAAGAAGTTACAACAAAACTTTATTTATGTCGTATTTCGTTCCAGTTATTAAACAAATATGGAGCTCTCTGCTCAATTAGTACGTCTTGTTATGTGCCAGCGACCCAAAATTGCCTACTTCTGGCTGTGTTTATCTAACAACAGTACCAACTACATTATTTTCTTTCGATCACATAAAGTTGTTGGCAAAAGAACGCGTCCTAGTGAAACGTTAGTCGGATGTTTTCAAGGAAAATATTCAACTATTCAAATTCTAATAATCTCTTTGACCCATTCTTTTAGGAATTTCTTTGAAATTTGTTATGAAGGCAAGGGAACGGTCTCGCAACAAAAGAATAATGTATGTGAATAAAGTAAAACCTCCATTATCTCTTTTGTTCCCACTTTTGCTGAATTAAATATTTTTAATACTTTTGTTCTTTTTATATGACAATGCAGTCCCATTTCTATATTCATTGTGCTTCGATTCATCATAGATTTAAATTAAGATGACTTGTAAAGTGCTAAGATTTAATTAAAACGAGACAAAGATTCTACTGTCTCGTACTTTAATATTTCATATCTCCATTAACACACAGACAAACAGATAATCTTTTTTTTATATCAAAAGGTGGCAAACGAGCGAGCGGCCAACTGAAATCGCTGAAATAGCGAAGTGACCGTACATATACACATAGGTATGCGTATATACATACGCATTTGCATATGCGTTGCCTACCTTAAATCGACGGAGACGAGGATGCACAGAAAGAAAATATCTTCCCTTTCCATGCATCCTCTCGTCCGGAAAGTCCATTTCCACTTCCCATCCTTTACTTATAAGAAAAAGGGTATGAAGGGAAAGTAGATTAAATTAGGCCTCCAGGACGCACACTCATCAGACGAAACGCGAGCTTCTACTTCACGCCTGGCATCTGTGTGGTCGTGGTGTTTCACCGGGCGAGTCGAAATTCTTAAAATAACAGGGTGTTTTAAGAAAAGCTTACATACCGGCAGTGCATTTCCTCTGGTCTTCCGTCTGTTGTCCCCTCAATCGTTTGATGATATTCCTATAAAATATTAAACAAACGATAAGTCATTTATCTAGAATTTATCATATTCGAAAATAATATTGTGTAATTTATTTTGAAATTTTACTGTATAGTAATTATTTCGCGGCCAACGCGTCATAAATCAAATTTGTAAATACAACTGTGATAAAAATTACGGGACATTTTAAATGAAAAAGTGAAAATAACTGGATGTTCACTGCCACAAGAACAAATACAAACCATCCCTTTCTCTCTTTCCCTTTAAATAGAGATAACTACATTTTTGTACAAGTTTTGCAGAATTTGTGAGTGAAAACTCATAGTAAGATAGCTTAGTCTGTCATAGTCCGTGGACCCCTGGGGCTTAGCAAATCCTTTCCGAGAGGACTCCGAAAATGGATTAATAGATATAGATATATAAAGATACTATAATGTTCTAGAGAAAAAATCTGTCAATAGATTAATATGTCTCTACAAAAAGTACAAGGACATAACCTGAATGAGCGTCGCAAAAAATTAATTACAAATTCTAGGACTAAGAATAACCCAACCGACAATCTAGCGTTCCGTAAAAGACTTTGCTTCCCAATAGGGTTCTGTAGTCTAAAAGTTTTAGAAATGGCATAGAATATTTGATCTTCATTTTCTTTCAGAAAAAAAAGTCCGCATTTCCCTTTGCGGTGATTGAGTGAACTTATGGAATGGAACAAATTCTTTCCGCTCACTCGCGTTGAAACTAAAATTCATTGAAATTTATTCAACGAATAATATTCTTACGTTTTCTAATGTAGCTTGAGGCGTAGCTACTTATTGTATCGTAACTAAAGGTCGATTACTTTATCTAGAGTTAATATTTACTATGTTAACATTGTCTCAATTACATTGATTTCAAATGAAAATACGAGACGACTTTATTTCATGTATTTCTTACTTAAAAAGTTCAATCTACGAAGAATAACTAAAGGACGAAAATGAACGATTTATCTTGCTAATATTATAAATTCGAATGTTTTGATGGATGTTTGTTAGAGGGTATCTCCCGAATGGCTTCATAGATCGTCCTGAAATTTGGCATACATGTGGAAGAATACATAAGCTACTGATTAAGATTTCTTAAATTCTGTCCGGACGAAGTCGCGGGCGACAGCTAGTAAGCGATAGTTATTAAGTGCGGACAACCGAGTGCTACTCGACACTCTTGGGATGAATAAATTTAAACTCTTCGAAATCAATCTAGCTGTCGAGGCTTCTATTCACAATGGAAAATATTTATATTTACTTATGTACATATATTTAGATTTACTTTTAGAATCCTCCTGTCATAATTGCGAGAGTCACCGTTCTAAATGCGTAAGTTTAGATCAGTGGTTCCCAAACTTATTTTGTCTACTGCCCACTTTGAGAATAAATATTTCTTTAGCGCCCCCCCATATTTTACATATTTAAAAACCACTACAACTTCAAAGTAAATTAATTAATTATTGTGACCTATATATGTATATTAACGGATAATTCTACACGAAACTTTTACTATAAC